TTTTCCCCCCCCCCCCCTGGCTGCCCACCAGCTGTTTCCCCAGCTGCCTTTTGAGCAGCCAGCGGTGCTCGGAAGCCATGCCTCCAGCTCTCTCCAATACACAGGCTCCAGCAGCTGTGAAACTGCTGAGCCTGTGCCTGTGCCTGCGTCCATGCTCCGATTTCCTCCCAGCTGCCGCCTGTCTCTGCTCCTGCGGTGAATGCCATGGTGCTCTGATTAGGGGTCTGGGCCACACTGGGGGGACTCCTGTCTTCCCTCTCACAGCAGTACTCTGATGATCTTGAAGAGGACAAATCTCTTGTTACCTTGAACAGGTATATTGGCATGTAACTGTATCTGGACCCCATGTTTTCTTTTTTAACAGTGCACAGTATTATAATTCTAGATCTCATTCATTTAATATGCTCTAAAATGTAATGAAAACTCATCACCTGACTCAACACATGGTTTTTCATTTAGGGGAAAAGGGAGGGAGTTATCAGGGATAACCCTGGAATTTCTGTTTTCAGCGGCTGTTTTAATTGTGCACTTTCATAAGTTTATTAAAGCCAAGGTTGTTCCCCTTGTATACTTGTATGTGCTGTCCTCTGCTATGTCATCCACTACACAAAGGTGGTAACCAGCTCTCTGTGTTCTCCAGGTGAATTCTTTTCTGCATTTCCCTCGTGCTTCTGGATCAAGTTTCAGTGAAGAAGATGCCTTCCTTAGTGTGCCAGATCCCGAGTCTCCACGTTGCTGGCTGTTTTTTTCACATTCTTCATTACTTTTCATATTTGCAAGGTGGAATCAGGTAGATATCTGCTCCAAATTAATGTGTGTTCTCCTGCTGCTGCTGAAAGGTTTATTTAGTTTTTTATTGACACATTGCACCAATTGTAGTCTTTTATGGAAAATGGAAAAGAAAATGTGAGAAGTTCCAGATGGCATCAACATCATTGTGTGGGAAGAAAAAATAAATACATCTAAAATAAAAAGTTTTCCTCTTTCTCCCCAGGCATACAGAAGAATAGCTCTTTATGTATCGCCCAATCATATTTCCATATTTCTGTGTGATTTTATGTTCCTCATTACCACAGTATCCTAACATCCTCCTTCTCGTCATTCCACTGGCTTTTCAAAACCAATATTGAGGAGGAAAATTCTCTTTTACATGACATTTCAATGATTTGATATTTGTATCTAATTTTAAATGTGATTAAAACATCAAGGCACTAATAAATTTTATGGGATACAATGTTCAGAAAATGCCCAGTGAAAAATGTTGACATTTCTATGACAAGAAAATACATATGCTGTACTTATTCAGGATATTCTATCCTTTCACAGACACTGAATATCTTAGGTTGGGCAGTCAGCTGCAATTCAAGTTGCTCAGTCCTTTCTATTTTAAACCTGTGTTTTCCCTTATTTGTCATTTTCCCAGTCGAGGCTGAAATTCTGCAAGGTGGGTATGCTTCTCATGTTGAATATCTCGGATTTCCCTTGTTACCACTGAGCTTATTTTGGGGTGCTTTGGTATATTTTACAGCCCTATTTACAGGTGTTGGACCTGATCAGCCAATCACTGCCATTGTGGGGGAGGCGATCATGTTCCCATGCCGCCTGTCCCCCAACACGAGCGCTGAGAACATGGAAGTGAGGTGGTTCCGACCTGGGTCTACAAATGATGTTCATCTGTACCGTGATGGGAGAAATCAGTTTGGACGACAGATGCCAGAATACAAGACAAGGACAGCGTTTTGGAAAGACGGCATCACAGATGGAAATGTTTCCTTGAGGATTCTCAATATTCGGCCTCCAGATGAAGGGCTATACATCTGCCTTGTTGATGATGGTATTACTTATGAAGAAGCTGTAATAGAACTGAAGGTAGCAGGTCAGTGGCTTGTGTCAGTTTATCTCTGCATGGTTTTCAGTTTTTTTCTCTTTCACAATATGCCAAATTCATGGAACCTATGTATGAATTATTTTACAATTAGACACTGTATTTCAATTTTATACAGCCATTTTCTAATTTCAGAAACATTTTATTTTTTGTCAATATTTTAATAATTTTAAGCAACATCTGGAAAGCAGTTAATTTTTCGTTGCTTTTGGTTTCTCAGTGTTTAGGACCTTCTAGTTTCCAGACTAAATTTATTCACATCCAAATTATATCAATTTTTTTCTTGGACCAGCATTGTTTTTAGTCTAAATAGTGCTTTTTCATTCATTGTATTTACTTACCAATATATTTACAGATAGCAAAGATATCCCTTTCTGCCTCTGTCTTGCTAGACTGAAAAAGCCCAGCTGTTCTCCTAAGATAAACCTTTCTCTTTTGAAATCCCAAACCTCAGTTACAGTCTTAATTTGCTTATTTTTCCATTTAATTTGAACCCTGTTAATTTGCAGTCAGTCAGTTCCCAAGATTATTTCAGTGACCAGCCCTCCTAAGCAAAACCTTGTAACCATTTGGCCTCCAGAAAGACAAGTCTTTAGCCATTGGTCAGGACCTCTTTTGCAAGTTTAGACATGGAATTAATATACACCTGCAATCCCCTTAATTACCACCACTCAGTCATGGGGGGCGGCCCCCTCCCCTTTTCCCTCCAGCCTTTACCATATCTTTATAGATGGCTTATTCTTATAATCTCCTAACTTTTGTCTGGTTTCCTTTGTTCAGATTTCATTGTTTCATGCAGACTTCTGAAGCTGAACTGAACTAATCTGTTGTGGACTGGAATGATGTCAATTGGTTGGGATTTATGTTCCTATGAAATACACTTCTGGGAAGGGAGGATTTCTTATCCCCTTTCTTTTACCTAATTTAGAGTTTTCACTGATGAGGCTGCTTTGTTTTCACATCTAAGAGGCTTGAACATAAATATCTATTATAAAACAATATTCAATATATTTAGTTACATTAATCATTACTATAAGATAAAGTAATAATATATTATATTTGAATTACCTGCTATAAGCCTTTGTGCTCTGTTTAATCTGATCTGCTTCAGATGGACATGACATTTACTTTCTTTCCTTTGCTAGATGTCATGTCTGCAAAGGTTCATTCTGTGGTTACTCAGAAACAGGCTTTTTGGACTTTTGCCATAGTCATACTTGGTAGCTCTGCAGAACATTATGTTTATTAGCAACCAATGATTATTCATCTCTGCCTTCCTGCATTCAGACAATAAAAACACACTATCATGTAGTACGATTCCAACTAGCTACACTTTGCTTATGGGTAGAATGCAAACTTAATGCGGTAGGCTTCTGCTGGGTCCAGAGTCTGCACTTCGTGTTGTGATGTTTCAGTCCCTGAAGCCTACAACCGACATGTCTGAAGCCTACAGTCATTTATAATGTCCTCATTACGTATCAAAATCAGATCTCAATTACCATAATTTGTTATTGGCTTAATGACTATTTGATGATGACATTTCTCATCTATCACATCCAGGAATATCTAGGCTCTATAGTCATTAATAGAATTTCTACCCTGCTCTGCAATATCTAGGAATTCTTGAGATCAGGAATAAGATTTCCACAATCTTTTACAAAATTGACTCAGATTTAAGAAATATAATTTCTTCCTTTTTTAGCTTTAGGCTCTAATCCTGTCATCTCTGTGGAGGATTACCAGAAGGGAAGGATCTGCATGATGTGTCAATCAGCAGAGTGGTAGCCAGATCCCCAGGTGCTGTGGAGAAATGCCCAGGGGCATCATATAGCATCGCTTTCTGAAATAAATCCCCAAAGTTGAGCGGCCTGTTTCAAACAGAAATTTCTGTTGTCATAAACGGACACTGAAACCAGAACTTGTCCTGTTGGATCAGGAACAGCCTCCTCGACCGAGAGAAGGAATCAGCAATTCATATATCAGGTCAGTTTCCATCCAACTACAGTGAACCATCTCTGCTGGAAACCAAATGAAACATGAAGCAAACACACACACGGCTAGCATTTCCACGGGGTCATAATAGGAATCCAAGGCTGTGGAGTATGTGTGGGGCGGCGGGTGGTGTCTTTAATTAGCTCAGTTTTGAGCTTTAGTTTAAAGACCCCTGCTTCCATGTTTCAGCACAGGAACACTGATACATGTGATGCTGGAGGCCAGCAGACTCAATGAATTGAATCTGCTCCAACACACGGTTATTACAGCATGTTGGAGCAAGTTCTCTGAATGTATATAGGAGCCCTCAGTGTGTTCACTGATACACATCATAAATAGAAATATTTTTCCTTTGCTGCTGCCACATGTCAGGGTTATTTTGCCTTCTTCAGACCCACTGGGTGTTGCCTGCAGCCAGGGCTGGGGAGTTTGACCAGTGTGTGCCAATATCCTGCTGGAGCTTAAACCCAAAAGATCCTGGGGCCTTGCCCAAGGTCAGACCACTTGACATATTTGGAGTCAAGAAGGATTTTTACCCCCTGGTTAATTAGTATGGACTGGACGATTCATCTTCATCTGTCACAAGAGAGCATGGCCCCACTCCTTGAGTCTCTCAAGCAGAATATAACTGCAGGCTACCATCCCTGCAGTTTTCACCCTGCTGCACCTTACCACACATGTAGTGTCACCTATGTCATGAGCTTTCCTTGTCAGCAATTTGAGATGCAGTTTCCCAGAACCCCCCCACCTATCTCCTTGAAACTTGGTAGGCTTTGTGGCCTCAGCAAGAGCTACCAACCCTGCAGTTTTCACCCCACTGTGGCTTAACACACATACGTGACATGAGTTTGCTCTCAGGACTTTGAGGTATAGTTTCCCAGAAACCCCTGCACTTATCACCTTGAACCTTGGCATGCATCATGCCCTCACCAGAGAATACCATCCCTGCAAGTTTTACCTGAATTAGCCAAAAGACAAAATTATAGATATTTTATTGCCTCTCCATTATACTCTATGGCCAAATCTCTGAATTGGCTCTGAATCTTCCAAAGTGATTTGGCTGAATCAAATTGGAAAAATTATTTGGATCTCCAAATTGAATCTCTGGCATCTGAATCTGAATCAAATAGTTCCCTATTCACGTAGGCCTACAGTTTAGGGCTTTTTGTCTTGTAGTTGTGTCAGGGTTGACTATAGTTCTTTTTAACAGACTAGACAGTGGGTTTGTACAGGACAATATGGACAGAGAAGATCCTACCTCAGGCAGGGGGCTGGACTAGAATACCTCTCGAGGTCCCTCCCAGCCCTGCCTTTCTGTGGGTACCTATGCTCGTGTCTAATACCTGCTCCTCTGCTTTCTAATTCAAATGCTCCAGCAGCCCCCATGTCATGTGTCATGTTCAGCATCCCTGAGTTTCAAAATGGTGGTGAGGGCACTTTAATTAAAGCTCGCTCAACATGCTTTAGTTAAAGCACCACCACCATTTTGAAGCACAGGACACTGAGTACTTAAGAGCTTGTAAAACACTCCAATTAAACAACCCCTGCCCCTTCCTACCCACCCGCTCTGGTGCATATGTAAAGATGACCTATGATTGTACAAAATACACAACAATTGTACCACTTGCCTCTGGCATACACGTAGCAGTAGTTTAAAAGTGCTTATAATAGTACTAGCAAATTGCCTGTCAAGAATGATGGTGTGGCAGGCGGGGACGGGCCCTGGGTCCCTACCTCCCCCAACTTTGGTTTGACCCTGCTTCATCCCGCTAACCCCCTTCCCCTACCTCGGGTCCGACTCCACCCCCTCTGCTTTGGGTCTGACCATACTCCCTCCTCGCTCCCCGCACCACTTTGGGTCTGACCCAGCCCCTCAGTTTGGATCTGACCCTGCTCCCCTGATTTGTTTCAGACCCCACCCTTATCCCCCCTGCTTCAAGTCCAAACCCACTCCCCACCTCCCCCCCTTCAGGTCTGTCTGGCCCCCCACATTCCCTGCTTTGGGTCTGACCCTGCTTCCCTTCCCTGCTTCCCCTCCGCTTCAGGTCCGACTCCACGTGCCCTCACCCCCCTGTTTGGGTTCAACCCACTCCCCACTTCCATCCCACCCTGCTTTGAGTCTGACCCTGCTCCCATGTTTTGGGTCCAACCCACCTAGCTTAGGGTCCACTCTGCCCCTCCTTCCACCCAGTTCTTGTCCAAACCCACTCCTCTCTCCCTTCCCCTCCACTAAGGCTCCTAACTCCACCCCTCCCCTATTCAGATGCAATCGAGCTCCCCCGCTGCCCCCCATTTGGGTCTGACCCCACTTCTCTTCCTCTCCCTGTTTGGGTCCTACTCTGCGCCCCTTCAGTTCTTCCCCCCCCCCAAACTGGTTTGGGTCTGACACCACCCACCTGGCTTTGCGTAGTACCACGCTCCCCCCACTCTGCCACGGTTCATGTCTAACACCACTCCCTCCTCCCGACTAAAGTTCCTACCCTGCCCCCCAGTTCAGGTCTGACCTGGTTCTTCCTCCTCCCCAGTTTGGGTCCAAATCCATCCCTCCTGCTTCAGGTCCACCCCTGCCCGCTCTCCTCTGGTCCAGGTCTGATCCTGTTTCCCACCCCTCCCCCCGCACTTCAGGTCTAACCCTACCCCCTCCCCGCCCTTCAGGTCTGACTCTGCTCCACCCCTCCATCCCACTTCAGGTCTGACACCGCTCCCCCCCATTCGGGTGCAGCCCTGGCACCCCGCTCCCTCCCACTGCTTTAGGTCTGAACCTACTCCCCACCACCCCCACCCCCTTTGGGTGTGAATCATTGCCTCTGGTAGGGCTCCAACAATGCACCCCAGCCCCCCTTTCAGGTCCGATCCCTCTTATCCCTGCCCCTGCTTTTGGTCTCACTGAGCTTGTCCCCCACTCTCCCCACTTCTGCTCTGACCCCGCTCCCTCCCTCCCAGTTCTGGTCTGACCCCACTGTCCTGTCCCTCTCCCCAACTGAGGGTCCTACCCCACCCCCACTCCCCCACACTGTTCGCATGTGATCCAGCTCGCCCCCCACTCAGGTCTGACACCACTTCACCCCTTCTTCTCACTCTCATATTAGGGTCTGAACCTGGCTTTTCTGAATGGAGGACCTCTTAGCATATAGTGCTATAAGTGTGATTTTTTTTTTTACTTTTATGCACTGTTTAGATATATAATAGTGTTTGCCCTAGACCTTCCTTCTGAGCATGCTCAGTACCCCATACTATAACTATGTACATGCTAGAGCATGTATGTAATTCCACATAGATCCGAAACCTTTACCCAGAAAAAAACTCCAAAACACTGACAGCTAGCAGTTATTTGATGATGGAGAACATGAAGGAGGATTTAAAGTATTTCTGGATTTTGTTTCTAGCAGGTTCACATAAAAAATTATCCTTTTCCATTATAGATACAACAAGAATCCAAATGCTGCATAATTGCCAAAAATTTCAGTTATATGGCTACATAATTTCCACTTAACCATGTAAAGGTGAGATAGCATGTTTCCTGTTTATTCATGATAAATCACTATTGAAAGTCAGTTTGTTGGTTGTTAAAGCATGTTTCTGATTTTTTTTTGCATCCTGCAAGGAGTTGCTGCTCTCATTCATATCTCAGGCAACTCCTGAGAGGAATTATTAATGGATGGCCTTGGAATAAATGCATTTGATTTTTTTTCCACCAATAACAAACTAAAAAACCTCTGGCCATCTTGTTTTTCAGCTCTTTTTTCTAACTGTAAATCCCCAGATGGTGGGCCTGAGTGGGATCCTGGTGGTTGTGTTAGGTTTCATAATCCTGATTGTATACCTCTTCAAAATAAAAGGTAAATACAGGGTGGATGTATAGTGTAGTAAATGAATAATTTTATTCTAATAAATCAAAGAATGTATAAATAAGTGTCACAGCAGCCAACCGAAGTGCAATTGTCAGGGGGTGTTGCTTGTCTGGGGATGAGGGGAATTGTGGGCTAAAAACAGCCCCGGGTCCTAAAGGGGAGTGGGGCAGACAGCTGGCCAACGCCATACTTCCTCAAGCACACCGCAAGTCCCCCTTATCCCACCAAACTGTCTCAGACTCCTCTAAACCCCTTTCCATGGACCCTGCTTGCCTCCTCAATCCCTCTGATCCCGTGTGCAGAGCCCACTTTCCCTTTTGATCTCTGAAATCCCCCACTGCAGACACTGTCTTCCTTCCCTTAGGCCTCCCATGGATCCTGCTTCCCTCCCCAATCTCCCAGACACCTGCCTACACACCCTGCTTACTCCCCCCAGCACCCCTGTGCACACTGCCTGCCCCACCAATCCCCCAAGCCCCACCTCTACCCCTCCCATCTGAATTTACTTTAGATTAGGTGGCCATTTTTAACTCTAGCTGCCCCCTAACCTCCACAAATGTCTATACATACCATTAAGGAAAAGTGGAGCTGTTATTCTGTTAAAACTTCAATAAATATATGTCCTTGAAATAGGTATATGACTTTTGACACAAATCTCTACACTCACATGGTTAGTCAAACACTGCAGAATATTTAATGTCATGAACCCAGTAATCTATGTAACTAAACAGCTGCTCAGCACCACGGGGCTAGGTGGGGGCTACTTTTCCACTGCTTTCTTTTCTGGTTTCAGAAGCAAATGAGTTTTTTCTAGACCTTGAACAACCTCAAGAATCGCAAGTCTTTACACTCTAGCACGTACAGGTGTTTACCTGACCTACTAGCACTCCAAAGATGTCCATTGTTTAGAGACAAGTGGGTACTAGATCCCATCCTGCAACCACTAGAGGGATTTATGTACCACCGAAACATCTCCCTACACAGCTAGATGGAAAAAGTACAATACCATCCCCAGACAACTCCTACCCGGAGCTTGCCCCTTCTACCCTGGAACTCTTGAGCAGAGGATTCCTCCACCTTAGGCTGTCATACCAGTCATGGTACCATACGGGACACCTCAGCAAACTTCGACCCACTTTTTTCTTACAGCATCAAAACTCTTATAAACTTCAGTTTTCACAGGTTGAAGGCAGTGAACATGCACACAGATTTGATTGACCTGGTCCCGTTCAAATTCTTAAAAATCCCATTCAAATTCTTAAAAAGCAGATAAAAGCAACTTAGCACAGTAAAAGTAAGCCCAAAAGAGTTTCCCACTTCTCTTGCCCAGGCACACTGAAGGATAGGCAGAGAAGTACCCTGTGTACTACTGGTGGTATGCAGATAAACACCACAGAGAGGTTGTCGCACAGAACACAAAGTGCCAGGCTTAAACTTATGAAGTTGTAGTGAAGCACTTAATCAATATATCTTTTTTGTAATGAAACACTTAATCAAAAATTCTTTTTTTTTTTTTTTCAAATCCAGGAAACCTTCAACGAGAACTTGGTAAGTTTTTTCTCTGTGTCCCACACAGCTTTTCCCATGCTATTAAATGTAGCTAGAGCTAGCTGTTAGATTCCTTCTCTCCATGCTAGAAAGAACAGAAAACAGAGAACAGAAAGAGCAGCAACACTAAGATGCCCTTGGTCAAGAGTGCTTTGCTTAGAGCTCTCAGGCACTTCTTCCTGGCCTTTGTCACCCTTATTAACCCAGAGCACTGCCACTGTTGTAGCAGTTCATGGAGTGAAATTGGGACATTGATGTAACTGGACATGCAGCTATTAATTAGTTTGAACAAGGGCTTAAGATGGCATCACAATGTGGTTGAGAATCATTGAAGGTACTTAAACATGTGCCTCATGTACACAAGGTACCCCAAGCCCCGAAGAAAACAGGCAGCTTCATTCTGTACCTACCAGAAACTTCTCAGTCAGGTCAGAGAGAATGACTAACAGTGATCCAGCCTAGATGGCAATAACAAGAGTATCTCTGGAGCCAGGCCCTGCCCCAGGAAATGGTACAGCAGGTCCAAGTCAGTGGTGTCTTTGGATACTGAGGCTGTCTGGTCACTGCAACTTAGAGAGTGGCCAAGCAGTACCTGGAGATTTGACATCCCATTGATGAATGAGGTCTGTATGGATTTATTGATATGAAAGGACAGTGTCCCATCTAGTCCTTCCACATGTTGCCCCATTTGTGTCCAGCATCACTCTGGTCTTTCCTGGCTTTTGTTTGGGCCAGATGCTCCTCATCCAAGAATCCTTTTACAGCTGCATTTCTTCAACTAAATTCTCACCACTACTTCTCTTTGTTTCAGGGTGGAAAAGAGCTGTGATCTGTCCAGGTAATGAAAGTTCATATTGAATCAATGGTGTCTTCTTTTTATTTCAATTCCCTTCCTTTCCTTTCCAGTCAAATTCTTAGGCTCACTAATAGTTTGTGGCAAGAAGAGATTTTTACTAAGGTCAAAGAACTCAAAATCTTTTGTGGCCAGATTTTTTTTTGAAGGAACCTAAAAATCCCCACCACACACAGCACTTTCTGTTTCCCTTTGTGAGTGTAAATGGCAGTTTGTAATCATGCAAGTGCCAATTCATCTTTTGCACAGGTGGGACCTAGGCCTGGCGGAGTTTCTCCTGAGTCCATCCTGAATCTCGTCATACTTCTAAAGA